AAGAAAAAACAAACTCATTTAATACCCTAAAGGCAAATAAAACCCCAGTCTATTAATCTAAAGTTGTAATCAGTAACTTCCAATTAATGAAAAGATAATTTTAGAGGAGTGATGTTAATTAGTGTAAATATTAACTAGAAAAAAAAAAACACTTTTATGGGTGAAGGGGCAGCCTGGTTGTTTTGGCATAGGGCTTGGAATCCTGAGGTTGTGAGTTCGAAACCCACTCCCACAGATTGCCACTATGGGTGTCTGAGCAGTACCCTTAACCCCTGATAGCTCCCTGGGTTCTGCACAGAGGCAGCCCACTGCTCCCCAAACGGGATGTGTTAAAAGCAGAAAGTTAATTTCTCCATTGTGAAATCAATTAGCTTCAATTCTTATTTTTTATTTTAGAAAAAATAAAACTGGTCTTATGCAATAAAAATGTACATATGTTGGGAAAAAGGGTTTATAGTTTAACTTAAGCAGAAAACTTGCTGTAATCTAGAAAAAGGAGTGTGGAAGTATATAGATATTTAGATGGATTAAGCAAACCAGACTGTAAGCCAGCCATTTAAAGTCTCTAACGCAGCTTTAAAACCAAGATAATTAAAAGATGGTAGGAAATTTCCATGGTTTTCTAACTGTGAGTCAAGTGTCATGGCTTTACATTATATTGATATAAAGTGAAAATCTAAGATGGAAATCTTTAAAAATATGTATGCTTCTACATAAACCAAAAAACACATCAGATATTCTTTATTTATACTGAATCTTATTTGCATAAAAAATGCCATCCATACATTTGATTGTTACTTTCAGTTCCATCAACTGTCCTGCACATCTTAGAAGAGTCCCTGCTTGCATCTGTACATCAGATTGGACTTTTTTCATGCTGGTGCATTATATATATCCAGACCACATGCCAGAGTAAGACCCAGGGTTGTGTTTACCAAACTAGCAGCCAGCTCTTTGACCACACATGGCTGTGTAGTAAGCTATCTGGCCAACAATGGCAGCCATGTAGAAGTCTGGATAAATAGGAGCTTTGATGGAGGCTGCTGGGAGTTCCAGAGAAGGGGGAGGATGCTGGGATACCTGGAAGGCCAACCGGAGGTGGCGGCGGTGTGCAGAGTAGTTTGGGAGCAGTGGAGAGAAGTGGAGGTCTTGATGGTTTGTGGGAAGGGTGTTTTTATAGAAGCGGACACGTCATCAGACTGGAGCCACAGGACACACTAGGTGCAGTCAGCTCGGAGACAGAGAAAGTAAACGTGTTAGAGTCAGTGGATGAATTAGATTTAGTAGGTGCTTAAATAATCCTGAGAAATCCCGGAGAACTTGTTAGACTGAATAAGTAGAGTGGGAGAGAGAAGGGGGATTAGGTGCCCCTCTGCAGCCTATCATAAATGAACCTTGTTCTCTGGCCTCGCTTCCCACCACATGACTAACAGTAGCTGTGTGTGCACAGGTTGTGTACTCTTTGGCCTGATAGTTCAACCCAGTTTCTACATTTCCATCCACTTCCCTCCTGCTTCACTTTTTTTTGTTTTTGGAGATGAGCCTGAAGAGAAAAGCAGCACATATGGTGGAAAAAGGGTAATAGCTGAGGTTTAGATGATGCTAAAGAAAGCATTCATCGGAATCCCATCAATTAATTTGTGGCAAAGATGCAAATATGTGTTAACTCAGTGGAAAGACAGCACAAACCTGGCTTTAATGGAAAAATGACAAATGCAACTTAAAGAAAACAGTATAGGGAACACAGAAAACAAGTGGAAGATAGTGCTCTGAGATCAGCAGTGCCTGCATCAGGAAAGCAGAAAACAATGAGTAAAGATAGATGATACATTGACCGAACCATATATTTGTGCAATATTAGCAGTTTTTTTTTTTTTTTTTGTATTTGTATCAGCAGATGCATGCATGCATTAGCCAATGCACAAGTGCATTCAGCAGCCATGCTTTTAGATGGTGTGGAGTGCACTCATTTCCACTCCCGTCTATTTTAAAAAAATTTGTAATTTTTTGTTTGATTTGTTACTAGATATTTCTATTTTCTTAAAATTGAGACCTGTTTTACATTTGTTATTATTGTGCCATTTTTATCATGTAATCGGAGGAAGAAAAAGCAATATTGGAGCAAAGAATCAGCTAAAAAATATTGTCGATACATATCAGGGGTCAGGTAGACTTATTTAAAGTAATCAGTATATGCATCAACCTTAAACAAAATTGTATAGATTGATCTCTAACATAAACTTTCAAATATATAACAGGAGCTACAATGAAATGGTGTAAATCAAAGCATAATCATCTATTAATATAGAAGAATCAAAGTTTAGACATAAATTATACACTGAAAAAGATAAAGCAATCGTTTTTGCATCTAGTTAATAATATTGAGTTACTTCAACGCAATAGTTTCATGTTAGCAGGGTAGGACATGAAACAATGAAGGAAATAAATATGATTTAGTAGATACCAAAAGTTGTTGCATTATTTTTTTCAGGGTATTAAGACTTTTTTTTAAAACGGATATTCATAGGCACTATCTTTCCAGGCCGACTAAGTCTGCATTCATACTCAAATAATGGATAAATATTTTCTTCTCTAGATGTTCAAAACTAATGGAGATACTTCAAAAAACTTGTAGTTTAACTAGAAAGAAAGGTGTCTTTAAGGCAAGGCAAGGCAAGGAAAATGATTTGTATAGATCAATTCGGTACAAGACAATGCAAAGTGCTTTACATGATTAAAATATAGGAAAATAAAACAGAATCAGAGCAAGTAGAAGAAACAAAAATAAATAAATAGAAGAAAGAACATTAAAAGCAGTTGGACTAAAGAAAATAAAGAAAAAATGAACTAATGATGTTTCAGTTAAACTTTTTAACCAGAACAGTCGAAGGCAATCCTAAACAGATGTGTTTTTAGTCTTGATTGAAAGGAACTTTAAGTCGCGTTAACTAGAAGTTCTAAGACACACCGCACTTTTCAGATTATACTTTTAGGCTCGCTGAGTCCTGACTGTTCCTGGGGGTGGCTAATTCTACATTTCTTTGAATCTGAAACTCTTTTCTTCTTTGGCTGTTTCTTGGTAGACCACCAACAGTAAACTGTGGAAAATAAGCCTAACCATTGTATGTGTGAACAAAAATAGTTGTGGTTAAAGCTGACACGTAGACACAGGACAGCCGACAAAGATGGTAGCTGGTACAGCTTAAGGTCAAGCTTTGAAGAACTCAAATGTTGCTGAAATGTTCATTTTTCCACCATCAACCAGCCCAGTTTTCTTTGGCAAGGATTGTCTAGACAGATTTCTGGGTCATCGTGACTAAAATGACATCAGTGTTTGCTGAGTGTGTGTTTTATTTGGCTTTGGTTCTTCTGTCTCCTTCTAACCCACAATAAAGTCTCTCTCAACAAGTTTAATATCATCACAGGAACATTTTATAAGCCGTGTCGCTTTAAAGAGTTTGTAAACAGGGTTAGGTCTGAATCACAAGAGGAATAAGGTTATAAATCAAGCATTCTTAGTTATATGCTGGTGTTGGTTATAAGCTGTTACAACACTTTGTTTGCTTGCATCCTCATGAAGTTTGCATAATTAATTTGAGTTGAAAAAGCAGGACCAGACCAATTCTGAGATGCTCAAAGTTGAAACCAAACTCCTCTATAGCTGCAAAAGAACATAAATGTCATTTCTAGCATATGATTGATTTACCAAAAAGGCACACATTTAGACAAAGAACTATTGTACCAGCATAAAGTAAGAAAAATATTGTGATATAAGTTTTGGTCGTACTATCCAACTCTAATTTAGTCGTTTGTTGATGTGTAAAACTTATTTGCAATCATTTTCGAAAACAGGACTACCGTTTCCAAATATGGTGACATATATGCTAATATATATAACCCAACAAAATGAGTCAATAGCATTTAAAAGACAGGGGATCTGTGTGCATTTTCTCAGATTTTTTTGTATTTCTTCTGCTTTTAAGACATAAATGAGTTTGAAGATTTAATCCTAGGATTAAAAAAAAAATCACTGTTTCTCTATATGTATATGGTGACATAGTGTGATTTATTTATATGTTGTTATTAATTGCAGACCTTCATTTGTGTTTGTTTTGGTCAATCAGGATTTTGCTTTTTTTTCTCATTTTGGTAACTGAAGCAAGTGGGTCCTTCTGTGCTATAGATGTTGTTCTTGGCACTTTTGCAACATCCTGGATGCTGATGCAATAGCTTTGGTAGGCTGTCCACTGATTGGGAGTTTTCCTTATTGCATGCTATTAATTAGATCAGTGTATTTCCCTTAAAAGCCTTAGAAATTACTTTGTAATCTATTCCAACTAAATAGATTTTAATTACTTTGTTTCTGGTCTGTTTTTGAACAGCTTAAGATTGGGGAATGGAGTGTTGCTTTTTAAGACCTTTTGGTCGGCTTCGTCTTGTCAGGCAGATTTCAATAAAGCTTGTTCCATAGAACAAGAAGATCCTGGTTGAGAATCCCAGCATTGATTCTTTCCATGTGGATTTTTCAGGGTTTTCCTTTGAAACCGTCGATTAACTCAGAGTACACTGGCTTCTCTTGAAGTCCAAAAGAGATTACTTTTATTACTCTAAGTTTTCCTTAAGTGTGTATGCAGGATCATTTGTCTGGATGTTTTCCCTGTGGTGAATAGGGGGTCTAGGGATCTGCCTCTTGCCCAATAATCACTAGAGGAATCCATCAGACGTGTGACACAGCAAGTAAACAGGGATGGATAGCTGGATCATGCCTGGTTGTAACTAGTGATATAGAATTTTTAAATTATGATTTAACCAGGGTTTCAAATACTCCTCCTGCATCTGTTGAAAGTTTAGGGATTTGTGTCAACTCAAATAAAAAGGGAGATTATTATTTTCCTTCATTGAAATCAGTTTGATATTCATTTTGTAATGAAGTGAAAGAGGTTTTTGTCTAATCAGTCCTTCTCCCCTCTTTGCTGTCTTGTTGATGCCTCCCTTTGTAGGCATGGTTGCAGCAGTATGGCTACCTGCCTCCTGGTGATGTCAGAGCCCAGGCCATCCGCTCTCCCAAGTCTATTGAAACAGCGATCTCAGCCATGCAGAGGTTTTACGGACTGACTGTCACTGGAACCATAGATACCAACACCATAGAGTAAGTGCTCCCTGATTACCAGTCGTTCAGAGATGTATTGCGTATTTTCTTTTAAAAAGTCATCTTGTCTTGAAGCCTTAAAGATGTACTTAGATGCGTTTATCATATCCATATATTAAATCAGAAAGTAGATGAATGGCTTCTTTCCGCTTAATTAGATTTTTTTCTTTTCTATTTCAAGTTAGTTGGTGATACTGAGCATTTTAGGCGATAAAACATAATTAAAAACCAAAATAAAATTATTTTCTTGTAAAATAACGACATCTGTAAGTCTTTGTAGAGCTGATAATCAGAACAATTTACGGGTTGCGAAAAAAAACAACTGGGAAAGTCTAGACCAAGAATGAATTTAGTTGTGTTTTTAAATCAGTTTAAATCATTTAATTATTAGAGGTGTAATTTTATTTATGCCTTTTGCAGAGCCATGAGTCGGCCGCGCTGTGGAGTCCCAGACAAGTTTGGTCCAGAGCTGAAAACTAACCTGAGGAGGAAGAGATATGCGAGGCAAGGTCTGAAGTGGGACAAGTCTGAGGTCACTTTCAGGTCAGGAGCTACATTCATTATCTTCTTTATATGTTTGGTGCAAATACGGATATCTTGGTGATTAAGGTCAATAAAACGCCCCTAAATAAAATATCTAATGAACAATTTTCAGGTATTATGTCTGAAACCATTCCTGCTTTGCTTTCCTTCACAGCATAGAGAACTACACCCCCAAAGTGGGTGAAAGAGCCACATATGAGGCCATCCGAAAGGCCTTCAAGGTGTGGGAGAACGCCATCCCCCTCACCTTCAGAGAGATCCCCTTCAGCCAAATCAGGGGCAAAGTTGACAAGTATGCAGACATCATGTTGTCCTTTGCCGACGGTTTTCACGGGGACAGCACGCCGTTTGATGGAGAGGGTGGCTTCCTGGCACACGCTTACTTCCCTGGTAATGGCATCGGTGGAGACACACACTTTGACCTGGCTGAACCGTGGACCACAGGGAGAGTGGATCAGGGAGGTAAGACAGAAACAAGGTGCTCCTGCTTTACAAATGAAATACATCACTCCATCTCACAGCATTTTATCATTCTCTATAGGGAATGATGTGTTTCTGGTGGCGGTCCATGAGCTCGGTCATGCTCTGGGTCTGGAGCACTCAGACGACCCTTCAGCCATCATGGCTCCCTTCTATCAGTGGTTCGAAACTGAAAACTTCCAGCTGCCGGACGATGACCGCAGAGGCATCCAGGCTATCTATGGTTGGTGGTTTGTTGACAGAATGATGCACTTTTCAGTTAATATTCAGAATATTAAAAAAAAAATCTATATATTATATATAAATGGAAAACATTTCTATCTCACCGTCTAATCCTTGTGTCTCCTTTTCTCCTGTTGCTTTTCTCCCTGTGTTATTCCCTCCTTGCCCCTCTTACTTTATTTCTCACCTTCTGTCTCTTTTTGTTTATTTCTTTCTTTCTCTCTTTATTTTATGTGCACTAATTAGTGACATTTGCAGAATCTTTGGAGAAGGAGCAGTCTTTTAGTTTTGAATTTTCATAAGGCATGAAAGTTAAAAAGGATGATACCTTGGTAAAACTAAACTGACAATTTACTGGGACAGGAAAAATAAGCTTGAAGATGAACCAATAACTAATTATGTAAACGCTTTTTAAGAGTTTGGTTAGAGTGAGAGTAATGTTAGAATATAAATACTACAGGTGCTGGTCATAAAATTAGAATATCATGAAAAAGTAGATTGATTTCAGTAATTCCATTTAAAAAGTGAAACTTGTATATTATATTCATACATTACATACAAACTCATATATTTCAGATGTTTATTTTGTTTAATTTTGATGATTACAAATGACAACAAATGAAAATCTCAAATTCATCATATCAGAAAATTAGAATATTGTGAAAAGGTTCAAAATTGATGGCCCCTGGTGCCACACTCTAATCAGCTAATTAACTCAAACCACCTGCAAAAGCCTTTAAATGGTCTTTCAGTCTAGTTCTATAGGCTACACAATCATGGGGAAGACTGCTGACTTGACAGTTGTCCAAAAGACGACCATCGACACCTTGCACAAGGAGGGCAAGACACAAAAGGTCATCGCTAAAGAGGCTGGCTGTTCACAGAGCTCAGTGTCCAAGCACATTAATAGAGAGGCGAAGGGAAGGAAAAGATGTGGTCGAAAAAAGTGTACAAGCAAGAGAGATAACCGCACCCTGGAGAGGATTGTGAAACAAAACCCATTCAAAAATGTGGGGGAGATTCACAAAGAGTGGACTGCAGCTGGAGTGAGTGCTTCAAGAACCACCACACACAGACGTATGAAAGACATGGGTTTCTGCTGTCGCATTCCTTGTGTCAAGCCACTCTTGAACCACAGACAGCGTCAGAAGCGTCTTGCCTGGGCTAAAGAGAAACAGGACTGGACTGCTGGTGAGTGGTCCAAAGTCATGTTCTCTGATGAAAGTAAATTTTGCATTTCCTTTGGAAATCAAGGTCCCAGAGTCTGGAGGAAAAGAAGAGAGGCACTTCATCCACGTTGCTTGAAGTCCAGTGTAAAGTTTCCACAGTCAGTGATGGTTTGGGGTGCCATGTCATCTGCTGGTGTTGGTCCATTGTGTTTTCTGAGGTCCAGGGTCAACGCAGCCACATACCAGGAAGTTTTAGAGCACTTCATGCTTCCTGCAGCTGACCAACTTTTTGGAGATGCAGATTTCATTTTCCAACAGGACTTGGCACCTGCACACAGTGCCAAAGCTACCAGTACCTGGTTGAAGGACCATGGTATCCCTGTTCTTAATTGGCCAGCAAACTCTCCTGACCTTAACCCCATAGAAAATCTATGGGGTATTGTGAAGAAGAAGATGCAATACACCAGACCCAACAATTCAGAAGAGCTAAAAGCCACTATTAGAGCAACCTGGGCTATCATAACACCTGAGCAGTGCCACAGACTGATCGACTCCATGCCACGCCGCATTGCTGCAGTAATACAGGCCAAAGGAGGCCCAACTAAATACTGAGTGCTGTACATGCTCATACTTTTCATGTTCATACTTTTCAGTTGGCCAACATTTCTATAAATCCTTTGTTTTTATTGGTCTTCAGTAATATTCTAATTTTCTGATATGATGAATTTGAGATTTTCATTTGTTGTCATTTGTAATCATCAAAATTAAACAAAATAAACATCTGAAATATATGAGTTTGTATGTAATGTATGAATATAATATACAAGTTTCACTTTTTAAATGGAATTACTGAAATCAATCTACTTTTTCATGATATTCTAATTTTATGACCAGCACCTGTATTTCAAAATGGATAAGTTGGGGGTTCTGAAACAACATTTGGATTGTAAGGGTATTCTGTTTATTTTAAATGAGTCATTAAAAATTAAAGTCTTTCTTTTTACCTCAAATTTCCTTTATATCTTTTTGCATTTCCTCTCTTTCCTTACTTCTTTCCTTCCCTCCATCATCTGTCAAGTTTCACCTAAAGTCAGGGAATCTATTAAACTATTTCTCATTTATTTCTTCACAGGTGTTAAATCTGGAGTCCCCCCTCCTCCCCCTCGTCCCACAAGGCCGTCTAAGCCTGACAAGCCTGATGAAGGCCCTGACATCTGTGAGGGACACTTTGACACCATCGCCATCCTGAGAGGGGAGAAGTTTGTATTTAAGGTACAGGAAGCATTTTATTCCTGTTTTTAAAGCCATAGATGTAATTTCAAACTCTCACTTATTCTGGTTCCTTTAAACATCACCAATAGCAACAGTAGGATCATATTTAATGACAGAAAAGAAAACAAAATGAACCTCTATTTATCTGTCTTTTGCAGGACAAGTGGTTTTGGCGTCTGCGTAATGACAAGGTCTTACCCGGGTACCCCCGACCCACTGCTCAGTTTTGGAAAGGCCTTCCTTCAAACATCAATGCAGCTTATGAGAGGAGCGATGGAAAGTTTGTCTTCTTTAAGGGTAAAGAAAACAACAAAAAGCAGATGTAGGATAGATTTACTCTTGACTTCTACTCTTTATTTTCTTTAACTGTGTTGATTTTTGTTGTCTAGGTGATAATTACTGGGTTTACAGTGAAGCCACCTTGGATAAGGGTTACCCAAAGAGACTGAAAGAGCTTGGCCCTGACCTACCCAGAGACAAGATTGATGCTGCTCTCTTTTACACCCCAACAGGACAGACGTACTTCTTCAAGGGAACTCAGTGAGTTTATCCCTGTTTTTAAGGGTCCTTTTGTGTGTTTCCAGTGAAGGTGAAACTTAAGAAAACTCTTTTTTTTATATATATTTTTGAATATCAACCATATGGATAGCCCTCCCTGCTAAATATCTGGATTCATATTTTTTTGCTGCAGATTAATCTCCCTGAAATGTTATTTTGCTTATAAATGTGAGACATTATGAAAGGATGGTTGCTCCTAAAAAAATTGTTTACAGTAAACGCAGCTAAGCTTTTTTTGTTTGCAAATTTTATGTAGGGACTTTTTAACAGTAATCCATCACTTCCTGTTTTACTGAAGTATAAATATGATCTAGCACTGCGGTCCATTGCTGTTCCAACTGTCAGATATACTGGATGAGGGCCTGTATTTATGCTGTCACTGCATACAGTGAGCAAGATGGTCAGGAAAGACGAAAGAAAACAATTAGTGTCAGAAAGCTGATGCATAGATTGACCTCTTGGAGTTAGAAGATCTTTATATTTAACATCAGACCAATAAAAAGATAATTACTAGGGGAAAACAATATTTCACTTCTGCTATGACATTTGTAAATGTGCAGAGCCCTTTAAATGCTGTAGGAAATGGATCAGGTCCTTAAGAGCTTTTCGTTAAAGCTGGACATACACTGTACGATTTTTTTTTTTGCCCTTTTTCGGCCAATTCTCCAGTCGTGTGAGAATGTATCGATCAGGCCGAGTTTCAGCCTCATAGTGCGTCCTGCATCGTGTAGTATATAGGGGGGTAATGGAGGGGTGATTAGCCTCTCAGGACCACCTCCCGATTAGGAATCGTAAGGTCGGGAGAAAAACAACATTTTTTTACATTCAGTCGGCGTTCGTAAGGTGTTGGTGGACAAATCCTCCTGTTGAAGCAGAGCTACGACTGCTATGTAGGGCAGTGCATCGGTGGGCCTGTTTCTCTCCCAAATACCATTGAAATCATGTTAGGACACAAGTTATCATGCATCCTTTCAAACAGCAGGTCATTTTAAATAGGTCAATCTCACCTGAAATCACGTCCAGCGTACTGAAGCACTACAGTGCTGTTGTGAATGCATAAGGAGCCCGGTCACCGTTCTGTCCCACATAAAAGAACCAAAATGGTTTTGTTGGTATTGTTGGGTTAATGGATGCACAAACAAAACAGTAAAGAAAACAGTAAAGAAAAGTTTCCATTATATGCAGAGAAAGAGAGGAAGTCAATGTGAGCAAGCATTAGCAAAAGTGGCGAAGTAATATCTAGAGAAAGCACAAGCTATCTAATCCCGTACAGATTTGCTCCAATTACTTTATCATTGGTATGGAAATTTTGAAATGTTTAAAAAAAAAGTGCCTGTTGCTAAAAAAAAAAAAATGTAAAGCTACATCCACATAAACAATGGAGATAAGGGGAAAAATTGTCTAATTTTTTCATCTTAATGCACACTTTTGTTACTTTCTTGTAAAAAAAATTCTTATTGTGTTCATTTTTAATTTTGAAACAGTAAATAAAGACTAGAGACATGTTTAGAGCTGATCTAGGCAAATAATGGTTATTTAAATAGTAAAACAATACAGACATTTATAACTGAAAAAGCTTCTTGGATGGGAAGTGAAACGTCTTCAGACTTGAAAAACAGCAGTTTGTTTTTTTACTTTTTTTACTTTCTTGGAAAACAAAACGGTTTACTTACCCTGCATTTTCCATTCAAAGTGCGTAACTCTGTAATAAACAAAGGAGCCATATTTTCTTTTTCAAAGGGGCTACATTGTCTAAGGCTGTTCGCAGGCAACTAGGTACCATCAACAAAATCATCAATTTGTGAAGGAAAATAAATTAAAGCTACAGTGTGTAATAATTACAGGGATATACAGTCAGAAATGTAATATATTATACATAACTATGTTATTTATCATCATCTACGAGCTCAGCCTCTTAACCTTAATATTTGCGTTGCCTTAGAATTCGTTATTTATAATTACATAGGAGAAGTAATCCTGAAGGTTATTAAAAAGTGGTCAGAGAGGACAGGGTTGTAAGGAAATACTGTTATTTCTGCACATTCAATGCCATATGTCAGCCTAAAGTCCAAAGTATGAAGATGAGAATGTGTGGGACTACTCACATTTTAAACAAAGCTAATCAGGTCTAAGATAGCATTAAAAGATGCATTTAAGCTATCAACTTCAATATCGGCATAGATGTTAAAATCCCTGTTAAAATGACCTTGTCAAGTGTTTAGCACCAATCAGATTGGAACTTTGAAAACTCATTTAAAAATTTGATTAAAGACCTGGTGGGCAATACAAAGTTACAAACAAAAGATGTTTTTCTCCTTTGCAGTTTGGAAAAGGGAAGTAATAAATGTTCAAAAGAGTTGTAACTATTAAGTCTTTAGACTGATCAGTAAGTCAGACTGTTGCTATTCCTACCTCCTTGCCCAGAATTTCTGGGTATGTGAAAATTCAAATAACTAGAGGGTGTGGCCTCATGTATGCTCAAATAATCCTCTTGCTGCAGCCAAGTTTCTGTAAAACCTCTTTCCAACTGGAAAAAGCATATTAAACCGGGTTTTTCAAACATGGGTCGAGCCGCTAACAATCGGCATTTGGCTCCCGTCCCACTGGCAGAAAAAGCTGTGTCTAACTCCTCACTGGCAAGCTGCGTAACCTCTGTCCCCCCGCAGCTGCGTGTCTGGTGACACCATCACGCTGGGTTAGGCTTGATGATGAAGGGTAGGGGGAAAGGGGAATGCATTCGGATTCATTGTAAATGTCTCTTTAATCCCTTTAACTCATTTGATTTCAAAACATTAACAGTTGTTTTTACATACATACATCTGTTAAAGCCATAGTTGTTTTTTCAATGTTAATAGCTCATTATTACTGTTCCATGTAGATACTACCGCTACAACGAGCAGACTCGCCAAGTGCATACGGGCTATCCAAAGCCCATCAGCAAGTGGAGCGGAGCCCCAGATAACATTAAAGCCGCCTTCATGAGTGAAGATAGTTGTAAGTTTTTTTTATCTATTTGCAGGCATTTTACTATAAAGGAATAAAATAAATGTGTCCTCAATTTTGACTGATCACATGTAACCAATTTCATTGTCTGTATTGTTTAGCTTACACCTACTTCTACAAGGCTAATAAGTACTGGAAGTTCAACAACCAGCACATGAAGGTGGAGTCTGGCTACCCCAAGTCGGTGCTGCGTGACTGGATGGGCTGTGACAGCGAGGAGCCCAAGAAGGGTCGGACGGTGATCATCATCGAAGAAACGGAGGGAGGATCCTGGGTGGCGGGCGTGGTGATTCCTCTTCTCCTGCTGGTGCTTGTGCTGCTCACGCTAGGAGCACTTTTGTTCTTCAGGAAGTACGGCACGCCCCGACGCCTCCTCTACTGTCAGAGATCGCTGCTGGACAAGGTGTAGACGGACCGCCGGGTGACTGAGAGACAGACTGCACAGATGGACAGAGTGAAAGACAGGAGGATCATGAAAAAACTTAGAAAGCAAAGAGGACTGAAACTTGATGGTGAGAAGAGGAGAAAGATGCAACTGTGGGAAAGAATGACTGAGGGAGAGGGGGGATTAAAGGGGGACAACATGTTGGGAGGTTTGCAAGTGCCACAAAAAAAGCCCATGAAACTGAAATCAGGAAATTATATATATATATATATATATATATATATATATATATATATATATATATATATATATGTATTTTGAGTATTTACATGTTTTGTTTGAGTTTAGAAATTCAGACTTACATTAGGAAGGCAAGCGTTCGATAGACCCATTCCTCATCAGCAATTTCCTTAAAAACTCCCCCCAACCCTTCATTTTTATCTCGACGACTCCAGCTGAACTGCTGCCTGATTCATCTTGCATTCAGAGTACTTTTTTCTTTTTAACTTTCCTCAGAAGTAAAATTAAAGTCTTAAAATAAAACCCGTAATACAAATTAAGCACAAAATGACTTTATTAGGTGTTTTATCCAATCAGTATTCCATCCAATCAGATATAGAAATACAGTTGAAACCAGATTCTTAATACTTTATATGATTGACAAACCTTTTCTCTGACATATTAAGCTGAAGTTATTTATGTTTTAGGTCAGTTTGGATTAACTCATTATAATCATAGTGGTGTAGTTAAATATTTTTATTTTTATTTAAGAAGTCTGCCTCCTCTTCTTAAGTATTTTGGATCTCCCAAATGTTTTGGATCTCCCATAATCCTCTTAAAGTAGATTGCTGGGATTTTTGCCCATTTCTCTTGAAAGAACTGGTGTAACTGAGTCAGGAATACATTTTTGACCTCAGCCAACACATTTTCCAGTGGACTCAGACCAGGGAATAATCAGAGCTGCTGTAAAATGTGGACTTTTTTCTCTTAAACAACTTTGTGAATAAGCCAGTTAGTAATAAAATAAATGGAATATAAATATATATTAGGGCTGAAACAATTGTTATTAATCGATTATTAAAATAATCTTCAACGATGCTACGATGACCTTTTGCAGGTGATACAGGTGCTCATATTATCTTAGTCAGCCAATCAAAACACTGCATGTGTAATCTTTTCCATTTTGTCGGCCTGCAGCCAGAAAGTCACAGGGGATATTGTTATTTATGATGCCAATAATATTTTATTCAATCTCAAAAATAGTCTGATGCTAAACCAGAAAAGATTGTCATATTCAATGGGTGATTGATTAATGTTTTTGACCATTTTAGAGACTTGTTTGTGCCCCCACTTTAACTTCCTGCTTGCTATACTGTATTTAGAGGTTGTTGACAAATTTATATTTTTTCCACTTTATGTCATATATGGCTAAATAATGTATATTTAGCTTCATCTGACCACAGGAAACATGTCCAACAATGTAATCTATTGGGGTCATGACTTCTTCTTTACTGAGTGGCCTTTTAGACCATTCTAAAAGCTAATGCCACACTTACTTTATTCCATGATTTAGCAAATATTAAAAACACTGGTAAAACTAACTGCCCTGAAACTAAATATAAACAGTTTTGTGGTTTTTTTTTTAGAAAATATAGATTATTATCTGGTTTCAACTGTAAGTATCTGGTTCAGATTTTAAAGGTAAATTTTCCTAGACTTAATGTCTTACAAGTTTGTCATATTGTTTTAAAAGATTCTTTGTTTAAAAAAAACTGTCAAAAGAAGGTACAAAAATAGTTTTTGTTTTGTTACTGAGGTTGTTCTTCATTTACTCTGTTCTCTTTTTTGTGATAAAAAAATGCTCATTTTTTTAAGTTTTATATATTGGTTATATTTGTAAAAGATAAATGGTTTTAATGGAGTTGTGTTTAACAGCTTATCATTTATGGACATCAGTCATACTTTATATGAGAAGAAAAAACAGAAGAAAAAATGTCTGAAAGCAAAAAAGAAAAGATGCTTATGCCGGTTAAAATATCATTTTTTTTTATGTCTGTAAAATGTGTTTCTTATTGAAGACATTTAAATGTGCAGAGAAAAATGACTCAGTGCAAGCAGTTAGATGGAAAATTCATTTTTAATTGTGATGCTTTAACTTGAAATGCCCATGCTTTGCTCTTTAACATGAGCAGAGCTAATAACGGTTTCCACAATACGGTGCAATTTTTTTATCCTAAATTGTTATTATAGATATGATTATTGTTATTATTGTTGTATTGGAAAGAAAAATGAGTCACTTTTTAGATGTTTGTTTTGGTTTTATGTGTTGTCATTTGGAGTCCTGCTGGACAGAGGCATTAACGTGACAATGTTGGAAATGAAGCTCGGCTTCCATTCAGATCAGATCCGTTTGAGTCCAGGATGTTTTTTAACACTGAAACGCCTGAAGATCACTAAGATGTTTGCAGAGAATATCAAGCAACCTGCTCATGAACTTAAAATCAAGTGGTGCTCAGTGATTTTTCTTTATTGTTTTTCACCAATTAGAACTGAAGATTATCAATGACAATGATAATAGTAATAATATTTATAGTGATGATCGTATAAATAAAATGGAATGAGATTTTTTCACTTGTTTGGGTTTTTTTTCGACAAAATAAACTAGTTTTTACCTATTCCTGTTTTCATTTCTGTTTCTACAGTACATTATTTCTTTATTGCTATGGCAAATACTAAACTGATTAAAGAAAGAATAAAAAAAAATAAATTTGGAGAGTGATATCATGTTGGGTTATTCCCCATCTGAATGGGAGATCAACATCTGCCATTTTTCCATACTTTATTTGCAGCTGGAGGACATTTCACGCTGCAAACAGATCATATTTTCACCTCAGACTCCGCTGCTCCTTCCCAGCAGCAGTTAAAGAAATCATGAACAGCTGATTAAAAAAAATGAAATTGAAAGTACTATCTTTTGTTTTTATTCAACTTCTCAAAGCAAAACTTAATTCTTTTGCTGAGAAAGGAGCATATGAAAGTACTCTTAAAAATAAAAGATGATTTTTTTCCCTAGGAAATCTAACCATTTTTCTTTAACTGTAAATAGCCCAACTTCTACAAAGCTGGCCCTAGAAACAGAAAATAAAAAAACAGATTGTTTTGTTTTTAATCTTTTTTAAGGTTTAACAACATTACATTTACTTTACTAAAATAAACATTTATCTGAAGGAGGAAAAAAGAGCTTAGGTCCAGTAATTAATTTTGTCTTAACTGGAGTGTAAATCCTATTTTCAATGTAGAAAATCACTGCTGCCACAAAGCTAACAGGTTTCTCTGTCAAAAAAAAAAAAATGGAGTTTCATTGCATAATAATGGGTCAAAATTATGCATTAATGGTTAAATGTATAAACATCATGACTGACGATTGGTTTGTGTTCTATGACAAGTTGGACTGGCATGGTTCTACACATGGTTAAGGTCTTGGCTTTGGGAAAGCTATCCAAGATCGTTTTGTGCTCATTTGTTTTTTAATCATCAAAACCAGTTTAGATGTATATTTTGGATTACTGTCCAGTTAGAATACCGTGTCCAAGTCCCAACCTTCAGTTTAAAGTTCCCACCACTATGATTTGACAGCCATTACATTGTACTTTCGTGCTAAGCCTCACTCTGACTGGGTGTTTGGCTCAAACTTATAAGCTAATTTCTGTTCGGCTTAATAGGTCAATTTTAGAGTTTGACGCTGGTTTCCCAGCAGTGTCCAGTTTACAAGTCTTGAGAGCCCTTGTGGGTTTGTTTTGTTTGTTTTTCTTTCTGAACTCCAGTGATATAGGGACTGCCTTTAATGATGCACTAAAAAACATAATTTTAACATTATCAATAATTGACGTGAAGTCATTTGTATGTCGCAGGATGTTTTTCCAGAATCATAGAGAAACATGGTGTTACCTAAGGCATTTAATTAGGCACATTTCTCCTGATCAGCAAACTAAACCAAGACATTTCCACATTAATTCAGTATAGTTATTTTAAAGTGTAAAAATTAAAACCGTTTTCCAAAGAGAGGTAGAATAAGAACACAAAGTCAAACTGGCTGTGAGTGAACATAAACTGTTTTTTATTGGATTATATAAATAGGCTGTGTATGATTCTTTGAAGCCCATTTGTGTTGCATTTGCAGAAAAATTTTTCAAGGCTCCTTCTTTTTGGTTTTGGAAGCTCTATCAATACTAAATAAGAAAATCTGATTTTAATTATCCCCAGTGAAAAAAAATGACCATTTATTAGAGGCCATTTTTTACACAAGTCCCATGTCTGCTTTGCCTTCGTAATGAAACCTCCCTAAAATGTTGTCTGATTGGTCTGCTGCCGACGAGCCTCCTGTGTTAATTGAAAGCTGGAGTGAAATGAACATTGCCATTTATAAAGTGCAGCAATGATCAAGAATGTACACAGTGTAAGAGAAAAGGAAACCAGTTTAAAGTCATGGTGCAAAAGGCATTGATATGGAAAGGTTCAGTGCAGTGCAAATAAATAAATATGGTGCAAAATGCAGTAGAAGGGGTTATGAAAAAGTCAGTAATAGATATTGTCTATCCCCTGTAGTTTGCTTCTAGGAGAGAGCGAGGCACAGAAAATGCCATAAATGGTTACCACTCATCTGGCACTAAAACACCTCGAAGGCCCAAAAGCCTATGCATGTCTCTTATTTATAGATTTTAGTTCTGCTTTTAACACGTTGCAGCCTCATTTACTTATTTAAAAACATATTCACCCATCAGTATAGCCTGTAATAACCAAATTGTTTTATTCCTTTTCAAAAAACATAATTCAAACTGTCAGACTAAACAACTTTTTCTGATTCAAAATAAAACTCAGCACAGGTTTTTCCTCAGGGTTGTGGGCAATAGTCAATCCCAAGGGAAACAGATCCATAACTTTCTTTTAATGAGGCGAAGTCTTTTGTCCACTGGTTTGATGTTAATTTGCTTTAGATTATTAAAAAGAAAACTGAGGAAGTGGGAATCAATCGTCCTTCAGTTGCTGATCGTACCCCCCCTGGTAATCCGTGATGAAAAGATTAATCAGGTCAGCGTTTACAGGTATCTAGGCATTCATTTAGACCAGTGATTCCCAACCGGGGGTACGCGTACCTCTAGTGGTCCACCAGTGCATTGCAAGGGTATATGTCATCATGGCACGGTAATCCAGTTAAAACTAAGCTTGCTCAGCTGGTGAAGACAGCCATGGAGGATG